ATGACATTTAGAGGATTTAAGAGATACTCAACAAATTCTGATGTGCGAACATATTTTTATGTTTATGCAGTCGTATGCAATGAGCACCAGCTTCTGAAAAATTGTTGGTAATGAAGGCGAGGAGGCTTTAGCAAAAAATGTTGTGTTATGTTGCTGGCACTGCAGGCGTTCAAAATCACTCCAGTGAATTGGCATGTTTTGATGTTAATGTGGTAGCGTGTAAGGAGTAACAGATACTGAAACTTTGTCCGTAATTGGTGCGATGTCGCTCTAGTGACAAACAGGAAGCGGGATGCGTCTAGCATTGCAGATGCTGAAAGATTATGGAGCCATAACCAGCTTGAAACTCTTCCTCTGAGGCAATTAGGAACGGGAAAGGTGAGGCTGTGCAATACACCGTGAAATCTGGTTTAATACAAATTGTGCAAACATCCATATAAAATTATACGTTATGTTTACATTCACAACGAAAAACTTAAAACTATCTAAAGTGTCGTTATCGTCTTAAGTATGGTAATTTCAGCGTATTGATGAGAATCGGCGGAAAAATGTGTAGTAGCAAACACGGTCATATAACTGCCAAATCTAAACTTACTCCATACTTTTTCATCGTTGTAAACAGAACAAACCCTCTCGTCATTTGGAATACCAAGACTACAGCGATAGTCTTGACACAGTGAAATGGAGCTGTATTTGGAGTATACCTCAGAGTAACTAATTGAACATGCAAAAATGTTGACTCATTGACATGCAATTGCCACATGCTTAACGTAGTCGCGATATGAGTAAAATTTAATGAATTTTTAGTTCAGAAAGACTCAGCTTGTTCTTCAACAGCGAGCAGGACATGATCGAAGAACCTGGTCCCTGCATCACCGATCATCGTATTCTGCCGAACAGCGTTCAACCTTTTGGCATCGAAGAAGGCATCCCGCCTTATGGTCATCTGACGTCCTCGCTCAGCGATCAGAAGGTTCCAAAATGGCGGAAGGTAAGGACAAGACGAGGGGGCAGACGTCGACGAGGTTCATTCCGTTTAGAAATTGCTGATCGCTCTTCCGCACCTTGGACTCGTCGTCCTCTCGATGCTGTACACGGTTTTGGGAGCGGCGATTTTCTACTACATCGAGGCACCGAACGAGTCGATTTTGAAGTGGCGAAGCTTGGCGCAGATCAACGACATATACTCATTCTTTTCTGACGACCTGTGGCAGTTGAGTCAAAACGGAAGCGTCGGCTCGAAGGAGCAGTGGAAGGCGGTGGTCGATCAACGCATGCAAAACCTCATCGAGACTCTTCACGAGGCGTTCACCGACAACTACGTTACGGTAGAGGAAATACGCAACAACCAAACGGAAAGCGTCTGGTCGTTCACCACCAGCCTGTTTTTCACCGTTACGCTGATCACCACCATAGGTAAAGATTTCCGCCCGACCTCAGGTCAGGTGCTGTTGTTCCCTCCTTTCTCCATCCGGTCTAAACGTCATGTTTTGTGCCGAGGGTGGCACTGTTTCTGCCATACGCTTTCAGTGGACGAGTTCTGGGTAGTGAAAACACACCGCTGCTCAAAACAGCATACATACATGACTTTGCATCTCAAATAGGGAACCGGATTCACACGGCATAAACGCACCTCTCGCTTGCCTCTATTAGCCTGGGGGAACCATTTAAGCAGGTCTCAGATCCATGATATATAAAAGCATGCAGTGCATCTTACGCATGACCGCATCTCTGAGCTCAGCTGCATGAAGGCACGTTCGAGAACCAACAAAAGTTGCCCCTCTCTGTAGACAAATCTACTGACAAAATCGATAACCCGGTTACCCTGGATAGCTGCCACGATTAACAGACTTCAGTCACTACACACGATTTACTGATTTGTACTTTCATTTGGTGATTCTGTTTTGTGTGCTGGAATGTAGTGCCAACGGTGCGATGCACTCATGTTTATACTGAGAACATGTGCTTTCTACCTACCTCACAGGATATGCGAGTCAATGTGTATAATGAGAGCATTTAAAGTGATTTTGCGGTGACTAAGCTGTCATCAATCTTTGGAGCCAACTACCTATATGCATACCAACCATGAATTTTGGCCTACATTCATATCAGTTATCATTTCACCAACACCTCTTAGTGAACAATTGCTCGATGGGGAGTCGACGTTGGCAGGGTTTCATTTTGACAAAGAAATCCGCCGCCACATCAAGAAATAATGGTCACCACGAATCCTGAACACTGTGTGGCTCTGTTAAGCGGCCAAAGACGATCATGGCTTCTTCTTCCGTCATTTGGCTGTAGAATGGTGAGTAGCAACTTTATATGGATGTCCAGATTTCTTGGCCAATGACCTACGTCACGACATTCCCTAAATCAGTTGTACTGCCGTCGAACTTTCGCAGCGGTATTGTAAAATAATGTTTTGCACCACCTGTCCTTCATGGTCGCAGTTACACAGC